ATGGTGTAGGGTGGGCCAAACCAAAGGAGAATGACGTGGGAGAGAGAGCAAAATCACGATTAGGGTACGACGGGGCAGTACAGGGAAGGACAAGTGAGAGATGCAGATTATCTATTTTTCTTCGATTTCTCTTTATATTTTCTATACACGTCTCTCAAAAGTCAAAACAATGTTTCACATGTCTTTCACGTGACATTTTAACAGTAAAATTAACAGCTTATATTCGAATAATGATATTCATCAGCAATATAGATCAATGTTGATGATCGCCAATGCTAATGAATAGCATTAGTCTTTTTTTGGTTGAGTGATAATATTCATCACCGATGATATTAAATACCAATCTAAATGTCAATTAAATTCGCAACCCATATCAATTATTGAATGTGAACTTTGGTGTTACCTGAATTGGCGTTGAACATGACTTGTGATGAATAGTATTAATTCACTAAGGATCAATGCATAACTAAATTAGAACATTGAGAATTGAAAAGTCCGGAATTAAAGGTTGGGGATATCTTTATAAAAATTGATTAACTGGCTTTCTAATCTTTTATTTAAGTTCCAAAAAGGACAAACATTTGAAATTAGTCAATAATGTTGGGCATTTCAAAAATATATTAATGGCAAAAATATTAAACATAGGATAGTTGTCCCCATTGTCATTAGTGTGTCTAGTAGAATTGATTAGGTTGGATGCACTGCTTAACTGGGCAATTATGCCGTTAAGCGGCGCTCTTAGCTGTAAACTAATTGATTATCTAAGCTTATCACATTTTTACTTTTAATTTATTGCTTTTTTTTTAAGGTCCATACCTACCTAAAATGTTTGTTTATGCTTAAAGCAAAATCCATTGTGAAAGCAATATTTTGCTTATTTTTAATTAATTGTACTTATTAATCAGATCTTGACAACAAATAAAGAATGAAAGTTGGCTTAAAATACTTATTTTGTGTACTCGTGAATAATGCATGGGATAATTACGTTCAATACTGTATACCAAAGATGTCGAACAAAGCCATCGTCTTTTTTCATATAATAAACAAACCTTTTGATTATAATTAAAATATTACAAAAGATTGGACTGGAAAAGGAACCCTTCTCTTCCTTGCCCACAAAAAAGCTCAAAAAATTGGAAAAAAAAGAAAGCTGTACCTTTCCTAATTCTATGAACCTGGCATTGAATCTTTCCATTTAAGCAGGCCAGGCCAGGCCTTTTTTTACTCAGAGAAACATACAAATGACAGGGTGGCTGCTTTTGCTCACTAGGCTACACAACAAATACACATAAATCATCATCCCCCTTTCCTCAAAAGGAGGAGATGGACCAACCCACAAAAAAATTGGGATTTTACTATTACAAAATGACCATGAAACAAAAGACTAAAATTTAGCAGACCTCAGTTGTTGTCTGTCAACATCAACACAAAACAAGATAATTTTCAGGTGCCTCCACATCCATTAAGGCTTGTGTCGGCGTGCTCGACTCAACTAGTCCATAGCTTTGAATGAGCTTTCGAAATAGAGTCTGCAATGAACCGTGACTAAAGACTTAACAATGTAATCTAAGTCTTGCAGTGCTATACAAGTGAACAACGGAATTTTGATTTTTTAAGGTTTGTTGATTTACCAACAATCTTCTTTAGGCACAAGATATTCAATAATAGTGTCATAGTATATCGCTGTCGCTCAAATTTCTCACTCGGAGCTCAACATTACGTAGATCACGAAGATGTTGTAAAATCTCTTGAAGGAGATCCATTCCCTTGTCACCTTTCTTTAGGGAGCTAATGCAATGCTTTAAGAACTCTCTATCTGCCTCAAGAGCTTGTAATCTTTCATAAAGATGATCAACCTCTTCTTCAATGGCAAGCTTCTTGTTCTCAAATTCAAACTTCGTTTCATAAGAATTCTCCTTGCCATTACAATCATATTCGTTGCAGTTTCCATTCAGGATAACATCACCGTTTTCATCATTAATTGCATCAAAAAGTGGAAGAAGTGATTTCCCGGTTGAACCCAGAATTTTTGTCCGCGAATGATGTTTCCCCATCATCTCATTAGAAAAACCATTAGCATGCCCATTATCTTCACTAAAATGACCATTTTCATCCAAACGATTCCCATTCTCTTTATGGGCATCTTCCATTGCTCTGACATCCTCGAACTTCTGTTCCTCTTCATCGTCCAGTATCATTAGCTTCTCTTCTAGAACCTTGAGCTCCTCTAGAATAGACAACCTCTCTTCCTCAAAGTCTGCTAATGATTCTTCCAAGTTTAGAACTGCATTAACAGGAGTATTGTGGTCTCCGTATTCTTGATGGCTATGGAAACTCTCTTCGTCTTTCACTTCTTGATTTAGATCGGCAGACAATCCATCACTATCCTCAAGATTGCTACAAGAAGCCGAGGAAAATCCACTCCGAGTACTTCCATCCTTACTTCTCTTCAATAGCTTCATCTTTTCTTTTGTTTCGTAATCAAACATCTTTTTCCTGTACAACTCGAACTCTTTCTCAAGCTCTTGTTTTTCCTTCTCCCTCTTTACCATAAGTTCATTCAGAAGTTGTAATGCTTCTTGATCATATTCAGATTGTTCCTCCATCATTCTCTGATACTGCAAAGCTTCCATTTGCATTGCTGCCTTCTCTTCTTGGAGTCGATTTATCATTGCCATCGTTTGATTTGCTGCCACTGCAGAAGCACTCCGTTCTTCTTCTAGCTCAGTATATAATGTCTGCAAAGCCTTTCGTTCAGTTCTCAGTGCCGATTTCAAGCTTTCAACAGTAACAACTCCCTCGCTACCTTCCAACTCACTAGTGACACTTCCATCCAAAGATCCTTCTGTCCCACAATCCCTTTTCTCGAGCAACAACAATTTCTTGTGCAAATGATGAAGACTTTCTACAGAAGTAGGCGTATCAGGAACCTTGTCTTCTTCAATCTCGTTCAGTTCCAAACTAAACGATGGTCGATTGTTCATCACGTGATCACTGTCTGTAACTAATAAGGCAGGCAATTCTACTGTCTGTTCCTGAAGCATAGCACCTAATAGACAACAAATTTCAATAGTTAACTAAATGCAGTGATAGAATGTTTCGTACAAGAATTGAAAGACATGTCCAGAACTTACCATGATCATCTACTTCAACAAAAACAGTGGAACTAACGGAAGGATCTTCATGCGTGCATTCATATGAAGGAATAGCTTCTTGGTTTTGAATTTCATCTATTATATCTAAATCAGGAATTTCTGTTCCAATTGAGACTTCTGCTTCAGTTTCAGTTTCAGTTTCATTAATCGGAATTTGAGTAACTTCTTCAGAAACTATATAATTCAAGCAGATAATAGTTAATACGTATTCAACATATACTACCAAAAAAAAAAGCGCCAAGAAAATTTTAAGTCAGAACCAGAAATAATTTTACCTGTAAGAATATCTGAATGTTCATTTCCCTCTTCTATTGCTTCCTTCACTTCAAACTCGTCTACATCTTTAAACGAAGTTTGGGACGCATGAAAATTTGCATCATCCTTAAGCACATCCATCTCAAAATGACTTTCTTTAGTGTGAAAAACTCGAGAATTTTCATCCTCTTCCATGTCCATGGAGTCCAGCAAACTAAATGCAGGTTCCTCATTTAAATCGAAATCAAGTTCTGCGTCATCCTCTACTAGTACACTTCTGTTTCCCACACCCAATTTAACATCAGAATCCAAAGTGGATTCTTCATTATCACTGAAACTGTAACCTTTAAAGTTGTCATTTTTCTGATCCTCTCCTTTTACCCAATCAATCAATTCAACTGAAACCAGTTTGTGGCCACTGTAATCAAGAAAAAATTCCAGATGCTGATTGGAAACTTCAACAGAAGGATCTTCATCAACAAACACCTGAACAGACTTATCTTCCATGATTTTACTCGGGTTTTCTTCCACATTTTCATTTTCTCCACCTCTTAATTCTTTCAACTCATTCATAGATAAAGAAACAGAATCATTTTCCTCTGAATCCTTAATTGTTACACTCAAACCTCTATCATTTTCAGAGAGAATCTGAGATTCATTCTTGTTTTCTAATCCTTGTTCATCATAACATGAATCAACCGCAAAATCTGATAATTTTATATCATAAACCCCAGGCTCTTTAATCAATTTTTCTTTGTGGCCAGATTCAAAAACATTCCAAGAAGGCTTGAGCAATATATAAGAAGAATATCTATCTTTATTGTCTAAGACTACCCCACAACAAGAACAGTTCAAACTTACCTCACCATTTTCTTTTTCTTCATCACTCTGAATCATTCCCAATTTGTTCATCCATTCAAACAAATTAACATTCTTCAGCACTCCCTGAAATTCTGATCTTGAGGACAAGCAATCCTCACACATATCTCTAGATTCAGCCAACTTTTGATGATTAGAACAGTAACCCAGTTTTGAAATCTCCTTCGAGTGGGCTTCACAGAGAAGATCTCTGTGCATGTTCTTATTCACTCTTTGAGGCTCAAAAATATGATCAAGTCTAGTACACCAGAGGCAAGGGGGCTTCAGCCCAAAATACTCCGCAAATTTTATGATCACATAAGAAAACAGAGAATTTAAGAGGAGAAGGACCATCAAAATCCATTCAAGAACTGCATAGATTAGAATATAAGTAATCTTGTTCGTGTTTCTATGCAATATGCTCGCAATTTTGTTTGCAGCCATTTCTTGATACTCAATGTTATGGCATGAACCGATGAAAATAATTTGTTGAAACTACAAAATGAAAACAGAGGAGAATTGACAAATTGAAATGATTAAAACAGCACTCAACTGTAGACAGAGAGAGAGGGAGAGAGATGAACAGATGAAGGAGAGGCTTTATTTAGAATCATAGACAGAGAAAGCTCCATTTGAACAGACAGGCAGAGAAGACTTTAAAAAAGAAAGAATCGAGTAATTGTAGGAAAATTATTATGCGAGCGTTGTGAGTTTTGAAATATCTAAACTCATTTATTATTTTATTGCGAATGCAGTATTAAATTAAAATAATATAAATTTTCTATTAGTGCAACATTTTATTTTTTATTATAAAATTTTTTGTCTCCTTTTACTACATTCCGTCTCCCATTTCAACACGACGTCTAACGAAAGAACGAGAAGAATGAGGTTTCTCTTGTCTATCGTAATTGCATGTTGTGTGAGTGCTAAACGAATAGTTTCATGTGCTTATTGGTGCATGGCTTTGAAATGTGGATCGTCTAATGTACTATATGATTCACCTCTCATGTTTGAAGTCGGATTTGAAATCAAACGTTTTCTCAAGAGGGCAGAATGTAGATCTATATTGTTTTTCACTTGTGATATACAGTCGAAACCACATCTCCTCAATTCTTTAAAATCTATATACCTCTAAGCACAAGCTTAGGTTTGGCCTCAATGGAATTCTCCTAATTGTTTATTTCTTTAGACAATTCCTTCACTTTATAATCAAAAAAATTTGTTCTTGAAAATTCGTTTGTCAGTTCTCTTATTTTATTCTATCCTTCACAAGAAGTGACGTTAAAATCCAGTTTTCATATTATTCCTGGAAAGATATTAGTTCTTACTTTTCTTTTCTATATCCAAAGGAAGGAAGGAAGGTATCATAATTTTTAGAAGTTTTATACTAATTTTATTATAAAACATGTAAGACGTTTTACATTGTCCGCTTATAAATTTTCGAGTTATATGTACAACCTATTAAGATTTAAAGAACAAAGATAAAAATTTATGATTTATATTATACTCAGTTTAAGAAATCAGTATGTTAATATTTTTATAGAGAAAAAACATAAAATGCTCTATTTGTTTAATTTGATATCCAATTAATTTATATTAGAAGTGTATTAATTTTGCATAAAAGCAATGAGAGGTCCCATGGCCATGGGTAAAAGGGTCAAATGTCAACTTTGGATCCAAAAGGAAATTTTGATGGGCCAAATTCTGCCCGCTCCACAATATTTAATTGTTATTGGCATCAAAATGGAGGGGCCCACCAACCAAGAACATGAATTGGTAGGACCACACCCAAAGTAAGTGGGCCCCCCTAAACAAGTGTCATCATATATGTCTACTTTTTCCTTTTTTTGTTTTTGTTTTAGTCAATAATCAAATGTTGGCGTACTTTTGATTCCACATGCATTTCTAAATTCACATTACTCTCACTTATGCTTCTTCATTTTCCTCGAGTGCATCCTCCCCCACCCCACCAAATAATTTTTAAAAGTAAAAAGCTATTTTTAGGTTTTAAATATATTTGAATATTTTACCTTCTTCGGTTTAAAGTAAAAACATAAAGATAACTTATTTACTTATTTTCAATTTTAACTAACATTAATTTATCAACCTTTTAAACAAGTGAATTACTAGAAATACTCAACGATGCATCCATAAAGATAGTTAAACTAAAAAGAAATTTCGAGAAAAATCTGAATTAATTCTTCACAAAACAAACAAAATTTTAACTTCATTTTCTTGTATTTTAATATATCAGACAACCTGGCTGAAAATGTCAGTGTTTGTAATAAGAAAATGCTATAATACATCTGCTCCACGAAGACAGCATGGGAATCTAATGTAAAATCATGTAGTTGGAAACATACGGAATGGTGTGTGCGTTTCAAGCAAATGTCTCCATCCTTACTTTCTCATTCTCAGTTGTTGTCAGGGTTTCTAACACATCTGGACAAAAGTTAAAGCCTTCAAAAATCAAGAATCCAGCCAGCCAAAGCCAATCCAGAACCCACCCAAGACAACTTTGAAAAACACGCAAAATGCAAGCTCGAAAAGGAGGATTTCGAGCAGTTACTGATCGTCTGTATCCTATCGCGTCAAAAACCAAAACACAGATATACAAAACACGAACATAACCTCAATTACAACACTTGTACAGTTATACCATTCAATTCAATGTTTCAATGGACACTTGAGCATATCAAATATATTTTTTTTTTTTTTGTCAATTCATTCAGAATAATGCTATCCGTTAGCCATGGTGATAGGAGGCAGTGTATGTGGCAGTGAACATTGTCCAACTTCCCCACAATCACATTAAACGCTATTCATTACCATAGCTTATGAATAGCATTACTCCATTAATCCTTGAGAACGAGGAACTTGCTACATCTACAGCACTCAAGAACAATAAACAGGAAAGTATCGTATCATAGGTTTAATCACATTTCAACATCAACATCAACTGCATTTTCATTGTTCAATTAACTATCTTTACAACTAGAGAAGGGTATACATTTTTCAAGCTAAAAAATCAACTATTATGCATTACCACACTGCTGCACTCATTTCACTCGTACCAAGATTAACTAAGCCGGGTAACTTACATTCTGTATGTGTGCAACTTTATTATAGTAGACCCGTACTTCCAAACGGATTAGTAGTTTGAGGGTGAGCAGCAGGATTGACAGGAAATGCTCCAAACCCTGTATCACTGAAAGGATTTTGTGGGGTCATCAATAAATGCTGTTGCTGCTGGGGCTGTGGATAAATAGGTTGGAATGGAGCAAAAGGATTTGTTTGATTATGAGCCATTTGAACTGCTGGAGGAGGAGCAACAGTGTTAGACATAACAAATGGATCTGCAACTTCAAATGGATTAGGTGCAGGTGCTCCATATGCTGGTTGCTGGGATGCTCTATATGCAGCATCATCATACAAACTATGCAGTGTAAGTGAATCCAGTCCTCCAGCCTAAAAAGCAAAATGTCCAGAAAGCACAAAATGTAAGCTGTAAACTTTAAAGTGCATATTTTGCACGCACTATTAGATTGCACACGACTTTACAATGGACAACATTTTAGCTCCTCTTTCTTATTTAATATTGTTAGTTGTCGTCTAATCTACACTTGCCAAGACTTGCCACAAGTGTTTACGGAGACAATCAAATAAAGAAACCATCATGCTCAAACATCAAGATTGGAGACACGATGCAGAGAGAATAGTACGAATATTTAGCATAACCAATAACAAAAGACCTACCAATTGCCTCTCCTGAAATGAAGACAAGTCATTGCTTGGAGTGCTGACCAAAGCAAGTTCCCATCCAGTAGGATCGAAGTCTCTTGCTTGCGAAGCATCAGAACCAAATGTAGTACCTGTAGCATAAAGATGTTACACAATTCCCCTTCAAAGTATGATGAATGAATTTAATAATAAGCTAATAAGTACAAAGAAACGAGCACACAGGAAATCCTAACCAGATGGAACTATTGCTAAAGCCATTGCATTGCTTTCCTCAATGGCAGATGCATCAGGTGCAGAGACATTCAATCCCTGTATTATTTGAACATGGTAAAATGAGTGCAGTTGACAGAACAGAAAAATGCAGATATCAGCGTTCCAGTTCTGAATCAGAATACAACAAGAACAAAGAGACTTGCCAGTAGATCATCAGTGTCCAAGTTAGTTGGAGGGCGTGGAGGACCAACAGCCTCGACGGTTGAGACCGCAACAGCTTCTGAAGGTGCTGGCTTGGGTTCCTCATCCATCACTTTTGTCTCTTCAGAAGGTGAAGGAACATCCTCTTGTTTATAAGTCAACTGAAGCATTTCAGGATATTCCTGATATAAGACAAGCATAAGTGAGGATCAAATGTATCTTTTTAATTACAGAGTCCAAATGGAGAAATCAGATGCAAATAGTGGAGACATTATATGAAGGCTGGCAAAAAATGTTGCCCTTTAATTAAATAACTAACCAAGGACATAACCGGAACAGAAACCATTCGTGGTGCTTCTCGTATATACTCGTCCATGGTAACTAGAAAGGACTGTGGAGGCTGGAAAGGAAAAGGAGGAACAATTAATAAGGTGTCACCTGGATAGCAACATAAATATACAAGCCCAAGGCTCCAAACCTTCTGTAATCTACTTACCTCTCTCAACACAGGGAATTGGAAATTTCTAGCAAGTTCAAGGCCTTTGCACACTTCATAGAAACCAGAAAGACTGCCAGCCTGCAGTAAAAGCATAAACATTTTAATGACACCCTAAAGCAAGTCAAAGTCCGTTACGGATAAACTTCGAAGAACTTCCGAAAATATAATCACTGTAATTGAAGAAAGGTTCATAATGAGTTTTGCACAGCAAAAAACTACCAGCTGCCCAGCTCTTTTGTAGATATCAAGAGCCTTGATCGCTTCGTGTCTTGGCATCTCAAAAAACTGAAATGGAAAACAGTAGAAGTGAGAAAAAGAACTATTGATTAAGCTAATAGCATATACAACAGCATACTAATAGTTGATTCACCTTGTCGACAAGATTAATAATCCCGTCGTTAATAGCACAATAAATTTTGAAGCTCTCTTTCAGTACCTGAAAAACACATAATGTCCGCGAAATGTATGTCATTTAGAACCATACCTTAAATCGACAATGCAATGGAAAATGAACTCCTTCAACTGCCAATATAACGCTCAACCAATATAATGGAAAGATGTATTCTCATAATATCAAATTTCTCAAAAAAGGGGGAAAGTATGTCGTTAATTTTCTTACTTTAACGAGGAAAGGCATGGGAGTGGGTACAATGGAACATCCCTTATACCTCAGTAAGTGGAAACTTCATTATTTTACCAGTACCATCTTTATCTTCATCCACTAATCATATGCACCAAGGCATTCAGTCTTGTAATTAATTTTATTTTTACCATTTCCGATGAAGATTATCTGTTTGAGCCTCATTTTATTGTAAGAATGCATTCTAAAATAGTAGATTGACAAATAATGTGTTGTTAAAAAATAAGGAAAAATTTTGAATTTGAGTGTAATATTATTTTATTGAAATATGTGTGGTAGAAAAGAAGAGAGAGAAGAAGGTATTTCGAAAATAATGGGGATCAAACAAGGGCTAAATTTCACTAGAACCACAAACCCATATTCCATACGATTATGCGACTTAGTAATGGATGGTCTGGAGAACACATACCAAGGCAAGGGCATATTGAATCACATAATTGCCCAAAGCTGCTCCTTCAGGCTGTAAATTCATAATGGTTAATTAAAAATCAGTTTTCCCAAATTATTAACAGAAATATGAAAATCGTTCTGCTGAAGGAGGATAATTATCAAAATTGAAAAAGTACCTGACATCCAATAAGACGATACAACTGCTGCTGCAAAACAGACAATTGCTCCAACAGTTCTTCACTGTTCAACTCTCTAGTTCTACTGTAAACCTGCTAACAAAGGAGCCCAAGAAATTTCTCTCAATCTTAGAGGTGAAAAATTCATGAAAGGTGTTTAAGCACAGAATATTATACTTAACAACATCATTCCCTTTTCACATTAATTATCCTCCGATTGGGAAGAATTTATATAAGGTTTAATTTATAAAATGAGTGATGTATAAGTGAATAGGAGTTATCGGTCCATTGGAACGTGTGGTTGAAAATGAAGTTTGACCATTTATAAATGATTTAATAATTTTTGCCAAACGGAAGCTTAAACTTGAATATCATGCTCTATTTGAGCCCCACTTTCTGGAGAATAGATTTTGGAACGGTCATTTTTTTAGAATGAGTGGTTAAAAAGTAGAGAAAATTTTTGGAGTTGAGTACAATTTTTTTTATGTCGTTGAAAATGAGTTTGAAAAAAAAAAAAAAAAGAGTTTTTAAAGAAAGGGGCTCCGATAGTGGCATAAATAAATACAAACATCTATTTTAAGATTTTGAGCACAAGTTTCTAATAGGATGGAACATAAATTCGGGAAACAGTCCACTGGACTAAGACATCTTAACAGCTACTCCAAAAGTTTGATGTCTATTGGAGGCTCATAAATAACAGCTACACCAAAAGTTTTAGAGATTCAAACTTCCTGTTCTCCAAAATTTCAGCCTTTAATTTAATGAACTTAATAGAAACAAACCAATTTTATAAAATATTCAATTTAAACTATTAATTCAGGTATAAAATTCCCTCTAAAATTTTTACAAGGGACAAGTATATTAATCAGTTCATAGATAAGGTACACGATACACATCAATGCAATCATAATACAAAAAATAAACACCTAACAAATTTTACTGAATATATAATATGCACCTTATCTTCGCCTTGTGCAGGTCTTGGAAGACGCTCGGATTCGATGTCGTACTTCAGTATCCTAAAGCATTCAAGTCGTTCTTCCAAGTAGAGCGCATATGTCCGTACCCAAGCAGAGTAATCCCAAGCTGGAAAAAGAAAGTAGATTCACATTATCCTGATCCTAATATCAATAGGTAGTTAGTTGCTTTTGCATTTTTCCTTTTCTGTGCATGATTGAGGGTTTGTGTATTTTATTTATTTGTTTTGAGTATAGTGGCATTTATAAAAATGCAAGGATGTAAAAAATGACAAGTGCATGCTCACTTACCAATGGGGCTTGAATCATCCTTGAAATTGGACATATCAAGAATGTGCCCTCTCTGCTGGAAATGCAGAAGTTCCTCCCTAAATGTCGGATCACCTTCTCGCAAAGTTCTATGGATAACTATTAGGGTCTTTAAAGCAACCTGTTCAAAAATTGAAGAAGACAACAGTGCTCAAATCAAGTTCTTTGCTGAATTAAATTACAAAAATTCAACATTCAAAAAGGAAGCAACAAGCACTAAAATGAAATAGTGAAACTAAAACTCCGTCAAAGCAGAATCCATACCGTCCAGTTATGAGTCTTTGCCAACCGTCTTGCAAGCGCATGTATGCAGTATGCAACATCAGCTCGTGGTCGAATTGCTGATGTGGCAACAAAAATTTCTGCAAGAAACATCCAAACATTAATAAAAGTGTAACATTCTCATTATCACTGTACTACTATAAATTTCCTTTCAAGAAAACATCGCTTAATTTCCCCTGCAAAATGAAAATCAAAGAGCAAACTAATACAGATTCCCAAAAAACAAGAATTTATGAAGTTCCAAGTTCAAGCATTAACAAGTTACAGCAGAATCAAAGAACCTAAGTGATTTACAGAATCCCAGAAAACAATAATTACATTTAGAAAATTCACATATTTGTTATTCTTAAACTAGAAGGAAAAATCTAAAAATTATTTTCCTTTAGAATTTGAAAACCAATTCCGGAAAGATTCACGGATTTTCCAAAAAACTTAGAAACTTAAACAGGAAACCACCCAAAAACTCCATTATACAATTATAAATCTACTCGTATAATTTAAAAAGCAAAAAATTCGACAGAGAGAAGGAAAAACTCACTTCTGAGGTGTCTATCTTTGGGTGGACACTCTACATGATTCGTAGCTTTGACGATCGCCACATCAACTTCCTAATTTTAGCCACCCAAAGTGACCCAAAAAAAAAAATTAAGAAACGAAAAGAAAATCAATAACGGAATCATAAAATTTTCGCAACTTCATTCTTAATTTTTTCAATTTTTTTCGTTTCACGATCACAAGCATCCTATAGATAAATATGTGTACACAGAGAGAAAGACGGGCGACCTTGAAATCGGAATTGACATGGGCAAGTCCAACCTTAGTGCTATCTTTGATAGCACCGTATGCTTTTCTCCATGTATGTAGCGTCCCCATTTGCCCTCTTACACCGTTCGGATCGCTTCTTTTTCTTCTACCCACTATTTATCTTAAAAATCGGAACCCTAAATTTTCTCAATTTTCTCTTTCTACTTCAATTTATGCTGCCTTTGAAAGAGAGAAAAAATGTGTTGTTAATGTTCGTTCCTGTGGAGAAATGGCGTTTGATGCTTTCGGTCGCGTGGCTTTTCGCGGACCCTTTCGATCTGTGATGATGATGATGATATGCTGACGTGTCAATATGGCTTTTTACTTCCTCTATATGAGTGTTTTCAATTGTAATGAAAATAAATGATAGGTCCTCAATCTTTGTCAAATATAGAAAATGAGTCCTTATTCTTTTTTTCCTTTTAAGTCATCGAACCTTACGAAACAAGGAACTTTTAAGTTTTAGCAAAAATGCTCATAAGGTGATACCACCACTTTATTCTAAAATTTATGAATAGTAAGACAGAATTAAGTCAAAATTTAGGCCTCATTTAGAAGTTCCCTTATAAAATAAGTTCATTGTCAAAATCAGACAAACGATGCTCAAGACCAACTTATAGTAAGTGAAAAGTCGCATTTTAGTTCGACTAAGAAATGTTTCACGAGTGTTATTATCTCAAAAATAATAGTTCATCATAAGAGAAATACATATCCCCACTTATTAAGTCAATTGTTAATATTAAAAATGGCATCCACCAAAGAATATTTCATTTCATTATTTTATTTGTTCATTAATGTAATTCAAAGTCACAATTTTCAGAACATTTGAAAAATATGCATGGGTCAAATGTGGATGGCTTCACAACACGCGGCTTATATACCAACTCACCTCACGTGGTCTAATATTGTAAAGTGTAAAATATTTCTATGAGTTGTATATCATAATAAACTACAATGAGATGCATCGTTGGTCTAGAAAGACTAGCACATATTTTACTTCTCTTTTCTGAAGAAGAATCGTTCACACTGACTAGAATATAGGAATACTCAAGTCAATATATGAATGACTTATTAGTGGAACAAGTTTATAGGAAAGCGAAATAGAGATTTTATATGGATGGCTATCAGTATAAGTTAATTATCTCTATATAAGGATCGTGAAACTTATCATTAGACTTTAAATCATTATGAAATCTTTCTAGCAAATCGTCATACTTTGATGGTATTGAATGTGAATCTTTTAGAAATGTTAATACACCACTAATTGTAAATGGTGGGGAATCACATTAAATTGATGGATGATCAAGAAGGGAATTATCACTCTTAAACAGTAAGAGAGACTATGCCCGACATTTCACGGACTTCGACATCGATTCTAGAATTCATCAATCAGAGTAAAGGTATGATTTGACACATGTTACAAATAGAACTCATTAGATTAATCGCTCAAATGAAGAAGAACTTATTGGTAAAATTGGATTGATTCTAATTACATATATCTTGATGAGTTCTAACATAATTGATGAATAGACTGTATTTCATGTTATTCGGACATTTAGGTATGAACATACCACATGTAAAATTGTCGCATAAGAAAATGTCAATATGCCAGTGGATTTCGAGACAATATCCACTTCTATACATACAATCTAGGCCTGGCTACATATATGCATCTTTCCCTTAGATTTGAGACACTAATATTTGCTGCGTGATGGAGCAAGTGAAACAGCGTGCAACTATTGACAGAGGACATTTGCATAAAAGTTCGATTCAAACTGCATTTGCTAATATTCTTCATGTAATTATATCGTCAAGAAAGAGGCCGCCAGAGAGATGATGCAGTCCGTTGGATTGAAAGAACTTTGGAAAGGTTATCATCATCTACTGTGTAAACTGCCAAAGTAATTAAAGTCAACAAGGAATAAAGATGAAAAATGCCAGCACCAATAACCCTTTCAATTTCTGCATAGAAGGCTGCTTTCGTTTTCGCTAAAGCTTTTGTAAGAAGTTTATGAAATTGTGAATTGTTCTTGGAAGAGAATTGGGATGAGGAGGAAGTGAATGGAATTGGTCGTTTGGTATAGAGGAAGCTATACTGTAAGGTCTGGTAATAGAAAGGAACTTGAGGCCAACCATGGTTGCATGTGACTGTTAATTTCAAGAAATATACTTGAACTCAGACCAATACTGACCTCGTTAATTTTTAACTGCTACACCCCATCTTTCAACAGTAAACTAGATTCACCATTTTCTCTCCTTTGGTAGAAGAATCAGCTCGTAAACTCTCGAAGTTGATCGAATGTGCAATGTCACCATTCGGCACCATCAATTCTACACCAACTTTAGCTAAAATCAAATTGAACCTGTTAGCTTTGTCCGTTCTAATAATCAATAGACTTGTATTGATTATCAAAGATAGCATATTGGATTAGATCAGAGTAAGTCAGATATGAGTCCCTCATTCATCCCCCCCTTCACACCATTCAACAAAAGTTCCATTCCAACCAGGATTTATATTATCTTCTTTCAGACATTTATTTTGAAATTCTCATAAACTATCATGAATTTTAACCATTGTTTTTTTTTTTTTTTTTTTTCTGACTGGCAAACTCAAGAATCATTAAGAAACTTCTGCATCAAGCAGTTGGGTTTGGCCTCAACCTCAAGACTCTGAATAAGTTTTATCCCACTCCCAACGTATGTTTACCACTGCCAGTCGTGTAAAATTACTCATACCAACATTTTCTGTTTGATAGAACGACAACATGGAAGATCCAAGAGTACGTGTACACTTTATGCTCAAATTTGGTCACTAATTGCGGGAACATAATCCAATTTTTTTCATAACAATGTTCAAATTAACTTTTAGCACCTTCATTTTGCAGATTACTATTGAATTAAAAAATTTCACACAGGCAACCTATAGAAAGATTACATTTGAACATGTAGGATTTTCTTCTGTCAAAAAATGGAACCCAAACTAACATAGTCGTCTGATCGTAATATTCTTTGAAGTTGTGACCAAGGTGACAATAATGATATATACTCATCCTAAGGAACAGGAAAAAGAACCACAAACAGTCACTCGAGAGGTGGGCAATAACAAAATGTTTCTAATGGCCAGAAGGGGCCACGACAGTGGACATAAACTAGTCAAAAACACCAAATTTATGACATAGCATAACAGCATCAATGATCGAGAAATAATAAATTTACCCGATCTCCCAGAAATGTTCCACTTCCACCGAGGAAATACACGGAAATGACTCTTGGATTGTAGCAAATTTTAACATTGGCCTTTGACCCATTAAATGAATTTAAAAAAAAAATTAAGTTAAAACATAACTTTACACTAAAAGGGTGATTTTACCCTTCAAGACTACAGACTGTTTGAAAGTTTCCTCTCTAACTGACCGACCCAAAAAAAATCGACACCACAGTTGCCAGAAAAACTGACCGATCAACCACCGGACGAAACCACCAACATCATGGTGATTTCAATCGACGACCTGAAGCACGTATCTACCACCGGGCGAACTATTCTAATTAGTTTTCTAGCAGGAAGTTGTATTTTTTGTTCTAGTTTTCATTAATTGAATTATTTTACGTTTATTCGTTTTAATTAGATGAAGATGCATTAGTAGTTAGATTGTGGGTCGTGCTGGGGTAAAAAAATGTGAATTTTTTGTAATTTTTGGACCTCTCCATCGTCGACAACGGCAATTTCGGGCGAGAGAGATAGTAAAAGACGGTGACTGTTAACAGTCAGGTCGATCCGACTGTTAACCGTCAATGGGCCGATAGTTAACATTCGGTCCAGACTGTTAACAGTCTGCAATTTTGTTAAAAGAAAATTATATATTTTTTATTTTATTTTTATCAATTTTTATAATAATTTATTTTTTATTTGATTAAATAGTAATTATGTTATTTATTTATTTATTTATTTTTTATAATTGTCTTTTATTTATATAATTTAATAATTGAATATTATCTAAAATTAACAATTTATTTTGTTCCTTTTATTTTTGTTTTTATGAAATAATCTTTATTTTTTTCAAATTTATTTAAATAATATAAATATTCTTTAAAGTTTTTAAAAATGTATTTAATTTGAAATTTTTTGTTTCTAAATATATTTTCCAAATGATTACAAGATTAATTTATTTTAATTTGATTAAATAATAATTATTTTATTTATTTATTTTTTTATAATTGCCTTTTTTATATAATTTAATAATTGAATAAATAATGTTGTTCAAAATTAACAATTTATTTTGTTCCTTTTATTTTTCTTTTATGAAATAATCTTTGATTTTGTTCTAATTTATTTAAATAATATTTATATTCTT